ATATACTTTTTGTGTTTTTTAAATGTTTTTCTATAATTGCAGTAAAGATGATTTCTAAAGATTTATTTCTTATTTGTGCAATAATTACTTACTTTGGCCATAACTTCAAAATTATTCAAACACAAAGCATGAGGTAATTCCTTAAGTAGGAAACATTTGCCTTATTTTCAGTTTTTTCCAAAAAAAGCCATTGTGACATTTTCATATGTACTACTTTGATAGGAATGATCATTTTAAAATTTATCTGCTTCAGTGAGAGAAAAAATGTAAAAAAAATATTTTAGAAGCTGTAAAATCACATGCTGCATTGGTAAGGCTATATGGAGATTTGTGTTTTAGCATCAGAAATTATTACCCAAAACTGATCATGAATAAGAATAAAGGGATACTTTCCACAATTCTCATTGTCTAGGTTTTTCAGACAGTTCATAGCACCCAGATCAAAGTTATGAAAATTATTTTAGGGATTCTTTAATCAGCATTTCATTGTTTTCTGTAATGCTTCATACAAATGTGTGTGGGTTTTTTTTTTTATTATTATTATCATGGAAGGAAATAATTTATCCAGTGTCACATATCTCTGTCTCACCTTAAAACAAAACAACTAAGACGTAAGTATGAAACCCAACTTCAAGTTTTACTCCATGGCCCTAGCAATTACTTGACCTCTCTGAACTTCAATTTTATCAATTGCCAGATGAACTTAATTTCAATCTTTCAGTGTTATCAGGACAAAATAAATAACTTGATGGACAAAAGTATAGAGCCATATGGGTTTCTCATTATGGTAGTGTGAATTAACACTGAACACGACCCAACCATTCATAATCCAAACAAATGTTAGTTTAAATCTTGTAATTTAAAAACAAAAAGACTGCAGCTTTTGAATGTAAGGAATTGAAAGCACCAGCTATTATATATGAAGAGGTATCAGAAAATCAATATAGTTATTGTGAACTACAGGTTAATTACAGCTTCATGGAATAATCTGAAATAGAACTATGTCTAAATGACAGTGATAGTAATGAATGGGGTGGAATATTGATACTGCATGCCTCTGAGAAGCTGGAGCTGAGTTCTCAGCATAAACAAAGGAACCTAGAAGTCTTATTAATGAAATAATTAAAAACCACAAAAATCTACTCTCAGATGTGAAAATGCAGAATAGAATCTGAACAGTCACTGAGAGAAAGTCTTAACTAAAATCAGAACCTGAAATTTATGTTTTATATAGGTTGGGTGAGAGATTTAAATTTTAATGTCTGTTTCAATTGTCAAAAACAAGTTAAATTGTCTTAAATACTGTAAGCTATGTTGGAACATAACAATACACGAAAGGAAACTATCTAATGAGAATATGACATCAGGTAAAAGTAATGGAATTTATACTCCCAGGAACCATGCTTAAAGACCAACAGGGAGACTGAAACATGTTTAAAGATTTCACTTATTTGGAAGAAAGGTGTTGTAAGCAGGATAGTATGGAAAAAATAGAGAACTGAAAATGTGGTTCTTGAAATGTATGTCTAAGACATCAGCTTAAATATATGAGAGGAATGGACAGCATATCTGTAATGTAGTATATGCCATAGAAATGATGTTGCATACTAGTTCCCTTTCCTTTCCTTCTTTATTACCCCCCTTCCTTCATCCACTTTTTTTATGTTGGCACATAATGAGATGAGGAGAGTAAACTCCACTTTTACTTTAATTTGACTCTGTGTGAGTGAAAAATAGGCTATAGAATCTTGAACTTTAACAGCTGAGATGAAGAGGGAAGATGCTGTAAAATATTGGGCTTATTAATCATCATGGAAAATATCTAGGAGTAGGTACACAAACTGGCAATTTCTGTGGTCATTTATATGAATGTATTTCATTTGAGAATAGAGAAAGGCTGTAAGAGGTCTAATGCTTTTCAACTGGTAAAGCATTTCGTAAAAATTAACTTGGTTTAAAGTTCTAGTTTGACTTGAAAATATGTGGTGTGTGAATTTCTTTTAATTACTATAATATATGTGATAAATTAGTACCAACAGATAAATATGATCTCATGTTTAGAAATTCAGTTTTCATTTCAAAACTTTTAATTTATGTTTTCTATAGTTGTTGAATCAGAGATTTCCCAAGAAGCTGATGACATGGCATTGGAAAAAGAGAAATATGTTGATGAACTGAGAAAAGCATTGGTGTCAGGCACAAGCCCAGCCGATACATACAAGTTTAATTTTTCTAAGGAGTCTTGTCACTTCTCCTTTGAGAAAAATCTGAAAGATGTTTCAGTAAGTAAAACCTTCCATTATGTTACAAATGTGGTAAATTGTCACACCACTTAATGAGGAATTATTTAAGTAACCAGTCTTTTATTCCCAGAATACCTAGAAATAAAAGTTTAAAGTACTTGGTTTCCAAGTTGGAAGAATGCTTTAAAATTACAGTCATTAAGTGTATTATTAATGAGTCATGAAAATTTTTATTTGGAAAATGTATTTAGATTTTAGTGCTTTAAAAATTAGTATTATAGGGATAATTGCATGATGAGCTGTTCTAAAAAGTGAGGTCAAGTTATATCATTCAGAAAAGGTCTATTGAAATAAGTTTGGAGAAATACTTATTTTAAGGAAGAAAATTTTCTATTTAAATGTTTAATAATGACATGATAACATTTTTTACACTATTAGAATACATTTGAAATTAAAACATTGTTACGTGTAGTAAGACATATAATTAGGAATTAAAGCATTTTATTATATTGAAGTCGATTAAAGGAAGTAACTTTCAAGACAGACTTACCAAAGGTTGCATGCTTTACAAGCCGTGAAAGTCTCCTCTTCTTCCTCCTCAGCTCCTATAGCAGTTCAGATCAAGGTAGATAGTTATTTGCTAAGTCAAATATTTGGTATTTGTATATTTTACCTAAGTTTATGGGATATTTAGTGACTGACCTGTTTGGTTTTTGTAAGTGGCTTATTAATCACTTGTGAACTCTATATATACATTTGTGCTAAAAACTAAATTGAATTTAAAATTTCTTTAATTCAGAATCATTAAAGAGATTTCACCAATTAGAAAAGAAAGCAAAAAGTGGAGTCATTATTTATTATTATCATTCAGAGAATAATGCAGAGAAACTGGCTTCAGCAAATTATTTCTGTTTAAAAGATACATTGT